GACATCCTTATATGTGATCAACATTCCATTCATAAGAGACTAACTCATACAATGTCCGTTCTTTTCTTAATGTATTATGCAATGTGTGAGACGTCCTCTTTTATTTCCATTCCTCACATATGTGGTGTATATACATATACACACATTCTCCAGAGTGATATTTTTATTTTTGAGTGTATGCCCGGTGAGGATTGCATCAAAACACTATTTTGAAGGTAACTTAGTAGAGATATCTTTAGATATGAGATTTATGTTATTAGGCATTATTTCACTTTTATAAGTTATGTTAAGGTGATTAGTGAATTATCTCTATCTTGAGAAATAACGCATAGTCTTATATGTTGGTGTTGATTATACTAATAGATTGCGTAAGCATGAACTCATTATGTTGCAAGAAGGTTTACTCTTTGAAATTGTTCATCATCATCTCTTCCATTGAAGTTTGTGGGTATCTTCCTTGGAAAACCCTCACGAGGCCACAACTCGTCCTATCTGAGATTCCTATAGGTTTAAGGCCTTGTTGCATATGGTAAATGCAATCGTACATTGCTTACGAAAAGGGAAATATCTTACTTTTTATTGAATTTCTTTCTCGCCCTTATGCTTTTTGCTTCAATTTCTTGCTTGAGGACAAGCAAGGTGTTGTTTGGGGGTGTTTGATAAGCGCTCAAAAGTGTAAATATATCTCCTCAACTCAAGTATTTTTGTCTCAATTTGTGATATAAAGTGATATGATATGCTTGGTATTGTTAGAATTACGTGTTTGTAGGTGCATTTCGCCCGGAAAAGCTAAAAGGAAGCAAAATGCTGTAAAAAGACAGTTTTAAGTAGCCAACTTGACGTAATTACACGAAAGGGTTAGAGAGCTCGGATTTTGAAGCACAAATAGGTATTGGAAAGCTCTCACCTCCTAATTCAAGACTGTCAAGATAGATCGCAGAAACAGAGATGGAATCAAGAAAAAAAGACTCGTCAAAACCAGCCAGACCCAGTTTCTGAAGACAGTTTTTGGGCCTATTGGGCTTCTTCAAAAACGTGTTTCTAGAAGGCATTTGGACATAAGATTTTGACTGAGTCTTCTAAAATGATTGAACAAGATCTCCACAAAATTTCAGCTCCAGAAGCTTCCTACAAGTTATCTAAGAAAACACAAACTCTTTTCTAGGGTTAGAAGGACTCCTCCCTATATAAGGAGAGGAGAGCCACGAAATTCATTATGCTTTAATCTTAAATTGAAGTATCATTAGGTTTTTACATTATTTTATGTTGAACAAGAAGTTCCATGTATTTTAATACAAGTCTATTTACTTTTCAATTTCAAGTTCTTCATATTTTTATCTTATCTTTACTTTTCATGCAATTTAATATTTTATCTTTACATACTTGTCTTTTAATTATGTCTTTTACTTTTACTACTATCATGATCATCACCACAATCGCCATGAGCTAATCGATTCATGGGGTTTTACAAGTGGATTAGGTAAGTAGAAGAATTTACTACAAGTGTTCCATGTTTGCCATGCTAGAAAGGTAATTATTTTATGATTGATCACGTAGAATAGTTTTTTCTCTTTGTTCTTCATAATAAATAAAAGAGAGATCTTTTTGCATGTGTAGAGACTTTCGAGCCTCATACCCCCGTTAATATATCTTGGCATCGAGAGAGAGAGAAGGTAGTTAACAATTAGTATAAAGAGAAGTGATTCACTACTTGCATGACGGCATCGAGATGAGAGGTATTGAGATCGAGTTCCTGGGTCGAGAGCAAGGGAACTCATCACCAATTGTTGCTTATCTATGAGCTTATAGTTGGATGCATGGGAAACAAAGCATGAGTAGTTAATTTGAACACTTACCTATGAAACGAAGTAATACCCTGCTTTTCTCTCCATATTCACAAGCATTTATTTTATCTTGCTTGCTTTACTTTATTTGCACTATCTTTACTTCAATCATATTACTCTCAATCAATGAAATCTCTACAATCAATCAATCCCTTCATAAACGACATCATCCTTCTTCGTTGTTTCTTGTTTGTAGTCAAAGTACCCAATTCTTGGAAAGAATGGATTCGATACCCCGATACTTGCCTCTACACTAGTTTTAGGATTAGTTTAGTTGTTAGAATCAAAAAGGGAAATAAATAATTTGCAGATTGGTTTGCTAGCACTGCTAAGGGTTGACGGGAAGCACTACTAACCGAAAAACCCAGATATCATGTAGTTGAAGAAATTTTCATCAACTGGTTGGGAGTATATTAACCAAAGATTAATTAAAGGAAAGGCAAACTAAGGAAGAAATTAATTACGGGGTACCCTAGGTGAGATCTTCACTGTCTATTTAATTAGAATTGAATTTCATAATTTCTACAACTTACACAGGTTAACTAATTGTAAAACTAATAATAATGAACACCTTGGGTTAGATGGTTATATATACATATAGTCAGAAAACTTTTGATCAATATAGTTCTACAAGAAGCCATGTGATATGGATGAACCTACACACTTGATCAATTTTCTGCTAGTTGTGTGCGATTTCTAAGTTTTTGTCCATGTTTAGATTGGCAAGAGAGATTAATTAAAGGTTAGATCGTATAGACTAGCCTTTATTGATGCACACGGAAGTACAACTGCTTTATATGTTTTATTTATATAATCCGTTTATTTTGAAAACTGAAAATAAAATGGGCTATAGTAATAAAATAAAGTGTACTATTGTCGCAAAAGTAATCGGTGAGAACGAGAAGATACGCGTCTATTAGTAGATGTTTGTATACCTTTAGAAGAGAAAATTCACCCGAAACAAATACTCGAAATAACTTATTATCGTTTCATATTTATGCCTTTAGTTTTAATTATAATTTTCACTTGCATTTTTAGGATTTTGATATAGTACTATTCTGGGTTAGAGCGGCGAAAGGAATTAATAGCGGTAGCAGGAGCTCGCAGTGGTACGGACTTACACAACCAATATGATTCTATTTATGATCATGTTTTATAACTGAATGGAGATAGTTGTTACTTAAATTACATGCATGATTTTGGATGAATGTTATTGCTGACATGATTTCTATTTGGTTAAATTGGTTATTGTTATGTCGAGGATTTTATCTGCATTTATTTAAATAGGTTCATAAGATAGTTGGTTCTTTACTTTGTATATATATAAAAATAGTGTGTTAAACTGAAATTCTCGAAATATCTTTTTCCAATGGTAGAAAGGAGATAGTTTTTGTAATACAGAGCAAGGGCACCCAATTGTAATGTATAGCTGGCATGTGTGAGGTCCCTTGATTTGTGGATATATTGATCTGGTATGTTGTCACGATGATATCTATACGGATCGGATTTTATTATGATTGTGGCCCGGTTAGGGTAACCATGGATATTGATTTTACAATTGTGTTAAATCTAGGGACTCACCACACATTTATATATATATACAGAGAGGCTCTCATACGGTCCGTCCGTATGCGGACTTAGCCAATTCACGTGCTATTTCAATTTCTTTCATAAACTAACAAACTAACGCAAATATGGTTTCTCCCTGGGTCTACCTTGACCCAGATATAACCCAGTTTTCTAAAAGTAAAAAAAACTCTCTTTCATATAATCTGTCTCTTTCTTCTTCGTCTCTCTTAACCTAGTTCAAACATATTTTTCTCATCTGCCACTCCTCTCTAATTTCAATCTTTGATTTAAATCTTTCATCTCTCAAGAAATTTGATCAATTAGTTTACAGGTTTTTCAATTTTGTTTAATTTTCCCTTTTATGATGTTATGTTGTTTGCAATCCTTGATTATAACTTAAGGATTCACGATTTATGTTGTTTACTTTTTCGGTTTTATACAAGTGATTGATGATATTTATTCTTTTAAAAATTTAATTGTTTAGATTATTTTGTGTTGTACATGATGTATAAGAGATACTTGGCAAAATGCATGAGTCAGTTGAATGAAGGGAAAACCATCCTTATTAATGTGTGGCTTTGGCCACTTATCAAAAAGTTTGTTTATGTATTCGATCTGCACCTCTGTTTGGAAGTGTTTGTGAACTTAGGAATATAGGTGGTTGGTTGTCAATTTTGTAATTCATTTGATATGGTTGTCGAGTTTTATTGAGAGCTTTGATTGCAATCTCTATTTCAAAGTTGTTGAGGCCTTTGTTTGAGTAAGACTGTAGGAGCAATTGACCATGGTAAGTCTGACATTTTCATTAACTTATCTTTGACGAAAGTGAGTCTACAATTCTTTTTGGCCCTTATTCTTATATGTGCGAGTTTTAGTGTGAATGTTAGTACCTTGTATAACAGTGTAACACTTGGGAGTAATCTCTATTTCAAAATTCTCTAAGCATTGTTTATGTATGTTTAAATGGATCTTTAGCTCAAATGGTAGAGCACTTGAGAGTATGAGCAACCCCTAGCTAATACATCTCAAGAGATGATGGTTCAAATCCATCGAGATCCTGATTTTTACAGCTAATCACATTGTTTGCATTTTTGTTAATACTGCACTGACATATGGATCATCAAAAACTGAGAAATCGAACGGGTTTAGAGAATTTTCTCATGAGAAATCCAGAAACAGAGCAGCTAATGCAAGGGTTAATGGCTTGTGATGAAACTTAAAAAAGATGGTTTTGTTGTTTCTCTTTGTAGAAGCAAAAGTTATTGTAATACAACTTCAGATTGTTCTGGATGTGATTATGAGTACATAGATATTATAATGGAAGATCAAAATGGTGGTTCAATCAGATTGATTGTAGACTTAGATTTCAATTCTCAATTTGAGTTGGCAAGGCCTACACAACCTTATTCACATCTTTTGAAAGCTCTGCCAACCATCTTTGTTGGCATTGAAGACAAGCTACTTAAGATAGTCTCTATTCTTTGTTCTGCAGCCAAACAATCTTTGTTGGGAGTGAAGACAACCAACTTATTGTTACAGAGTTTGCACCACCATCAAGTCCACTGAAAAGATCTAGGTAATAAAGTTACGATCTTGGTGGATTTGAACCACCATCTCTTGAGATGTACTAGCTAGGTTGCACATACTCTCAAGTGTTCTACCATTTGAGCTAAAGATCCAATTTGATGCTAAATTTGTGTATGTTTAAAACATCATTGAGACACAACTCTATCCAATAAAGCAGAAAATGTCATATTGGTTTTCCAATGATTTATATTCCTTTTTTCATAGGAATACACAGGTGGAAATAAAAATCAAGATTATGGATTGAAGTCCAAAGGTACTTCCATCTTGTTGATAATACACAAGTAGCAACAACATATATATTGTAGGAGGAAAGGAGAATGTAATGAAGAATACTTTTCTGTAAATTGCTGATTCTATCTTCTTTCCCATAATTTTCTTTCCCCATAGACTGTTTGTCGTTTAAAATCCTCCCTTGAAGCATTTGCGTCCATGATTTTCAGGTTTCCTGCTAAAATATATATGCTGCAACATAAAAGGAAAAAGACCACATGAAAGGGAATTATAACAGACCTTTTAAATGTTTTTAAGTGAAAAATAGCTATACATTGTTCGGGCAATAGCAGTGAGCGAAACAAAAAAATTTCTTGAGCAAGTAATTAAACCTGAAGTGAAGATTTGCTTATTAGAAATGCAAACCACTTGTCAATCTAAAATGGTTATATGAACCCCTCTTTTTTTTTTCATGATATCAGCATTGTACCAAAATGTTGAGTTTAGATCAAGGACTCTCACTACTTTGGCCTAAAAAAGAACTGGTGGAGACTTACACATTGCATGCAACTTTAGTTAAAAGAAAAGTACATGAATGTTTTCAGAAACTTGGCATCAATATTAAAGCAATAACACGTCACTCACAGGAAAAAACTTTTTGTGGTTGATGTTCTATCTAGAAGACTAGAACCCAATCCTTAACTGGTGGCCGCCTTCTCTGCCTCAAGTTGCTGCAGCTCTGCCAAGCTCTGAGCCCTTGCTCTATCCCTTGCTACTGCAGCCATTTTATGTTCTATCCTCTTAATAAGCTTCTTCTTTTGGCTTCCTGCGTCTGAACTTTCCGTTTTTTTTTTGCTTTGGACTTTATAAAGCCTTGCGCAGCGCAATGCGCTTCTTCTCATTCCTACTTTTAACACTACCTTCATGAGGTCTATTTTCAATTATTGGTTCCCCAGGTGTATATTGAACCCAAGCATACGGTCCTTTGGGTTTTAAGCTAGCTTGTTTTCTTCAATTCTCAAAACCTGGTCTTCTCTTAGGATGTCGAGTATCAGTATATTCATTCCTACCTTCTTTTAAGCATATTCATTCCTTATTTTAACACTACCCTTTCAACATGCTACCACCATTCAACAAGTGCGACAAAGACAGAGAACTGAACCATAAGGTTTGACATGGCTAAATGCCTTCTCCAAATCTTTCTAACGCTGTAATCTATCGAGCTCTTCCTTGATCTCCTCTGCTTTATATTATGTTTAGGGCCAAGCTCCATACCCGAAGTTAGTCCTTCCATACCATACAGTCTTAACAAAAGGAAGTCTCATAAACTTCTAACAGAATAGTAACTTCAAAATACGAAATATACTGACTTAATAAATTGGATGTTGATGAACTGTATCCTTGTCCTACAACTTCGAAAAATGATGTGGTGTACTCCTATTATTTTGTGTTATCTCCAATAAAAAAAAATC